CTCACAGCAACCTCAAACTCCTGGGCTCAAGCAATCCTTCTGCCTCAGCCTCCCGAGTAGCTGGGACTACAGGCATGCGCCACCATGTCCGGCTAATTCTTTCTATATATTTTTAGTTGTCCGATTAATTTCTTTCTATTTTTAGTAGAGACAGGGTCTCGCTGTTGCTCAGGCTGGTTTCGAACTCCTGAGCTCAAGCAATCCTTCTGCCTCAGCCTCCCGAGTAGCTGGGACTACAGGCATGTGCCACCATGTCCGGCTAATTCTTTCTATATATATATTTTTAGTTGTCCAGATAATTTCTTTCTATTTTTAGTTGAGATGGGGTCTCACGCTTGCTCAGGCTGGTCTCGAACTCCTGACCTTGAGCGATCCACCCGCCTTGACCTCCCAGAGTGCTAGGATTACAGGCGTGAGCCACCGCGCCCCCGGCCTCACCAAACTTTTAAGAAATAAATCAACCCAAACTCTCCCAGGGAACAGAAAAAGAGGAACTACTCTCAACTCACTGTATAAGATCAGTGTAATCTTAATACCAAAATCAGACAAGATAGTCAAAAAAGAAAAGTGAGAGGTAATTCTATTTGTAAACAAACACAAAAATCTAAATAAAATATTGGCAAACACAATCTACTAGTTCATAAAAAGATAATCCATAAAGACCAATTTGGCTTTATCTCAAGAAAGACTATAAGAATGAAGAATTCTAAAATCTATAAATTGGAATTATTGCATCTAACAGATTAAAGGAGAAAACCACAAGATAGTCTCAACAGATGCAGAAAAGCATGTGACCAAAAAAAAAACACAAAGATTTCTCTAACTTAATCAAAGGTATCTACAAAAACTCACAGCACATGTTATTCTTAACAGGGGAAACATTCTATTTAAAATTGGGAATGAGATCTGTATGTATGCCCACTATATTCATTTCTAATGAACAACCATAATCATTTCCATTGAACATATATCTAAAAGTGAGCTAATACATTAAGACAAGAAAAATAAATTGAAAGCAAAAAT